TGAGTGATAAGAGCTGTTGTAGGTTTAAAACTCTACAGATAATAAAAGTGGTGATGGAGAACAAATGCCTGAAGGAGTTAGGTATGCCTTGTGAAGTTGCAGAACTCTGGAACAAATAGTTATTGCCTACTAAACAACACAGATGAGTAAGGACAGGCACATCTTCATTATTACACTTTGTCTTTCGAAAAATCCATTATTTTTGTACATGTTTATGAGTGGTTCACCCTTTATTATTGAGTTGCAAGAGATATATTCTAGATACAAGTCTTTTGAAAGATTTATTTATTGCAGATATGTCCTATCTACTTTGTGTGTGTGTGTGTGTGTGTGTTCTTCATGTCTCTTTTAAGGAACATGCATTTTCAGCATTATTTATTTTATTTATAATTTTTTTGAGAATTTTGTACACAAATACACTGTATTTATATCATTTTCATTAGTCTTTCAACATTCCCACCCCACCCTAATAACCTACTTCCTCTAAGATTCACTTTGAATACTTTTGAGACCTCTAGTTTTATAAATTAGGCTTAATTTGTGTTAGGGCTACACACACACACACACACACACACACACACACACACTTAAAATCTTTATAGATTCCAAGTTATCCTGGGAAAGCATTCTCCTTTATTGTCTCCTTGATTATTTATAGTTTAAGGTTTCATGTTAAGTAAGTAACTGAACTCAAGAAAGCTTTTGTGCATTATACAAAGTAGTATTCCTCCATTAAATACATTTGTTGTTTTCTCTAGTATTATTGCTGAGTGAAGTTTCCTCTTCTGTAGGAATTGTCCTAGATCTTTCCTTGAATTCTATTTCCTTCCATCCACTTATTTTTATGTCAGTGTACACTGCTTGCTTAGTTGCCTTTCTAGTAATTTTGTTCTTTGACAATTTCACATGTCCTACAGTACCTCCTTTCTGTCCCTATCCCTATCAAAGCCATCCTCCAACTCTACCTATCCCCTTTACATGCTTGTGACTTTTGGTTTTACTAGGCCATATACTTAACCAAAAGATTGGAACTGTCCATTGAAGCTGGATGGAGTCACTTGTGGGTATGAAGGCCTGATTCCCTTCTCCATGATTCTGTAAACAGACCGTAGCACAGACAGTGGCTTTAGATCACATAGCTGTGGTTTTTACATGTGTTTGTATGGAAGTCAAAGCTGTAGTAGTGAAAGGAGGAGTTATGGTCTTCTGCATTCTTTGCCTGATGGCTCCATCTTTTCTGCTGTGGGTTCTTATGTCACCTCTCATTGGCTCTCTCCTCTCACCTCACTTTTTCCCTTGCAAGGGCCTTTGTGAGTATGTGGCACTCACTCCAGTAAACCCGGACAATTGTCCTTCCTTCCCATCCTTTGTTTACTCATGCTGGAAAATGTGCTTTTGCTGTGTATGGGTTTCATAGTTTTGATCAGTTAGAACATGGGCATCATTTGGTGATGGTGGCCTGGGTGTTGCTCTGCACGCTGCAGTGGTTTTCTTTATATTCAGTCTGTTTTAGTTGCATTGATTCTCATGAAACTGAAGATTGACTTTGTTCATATACTGTCTGCACTATTATTCTTTTCCTATGGGTTCAGTTAAAGAGTTTGCTAATTATTGTCACACAGACAGTGGGATAATGTGGAACATTCCTGTCTGTGTTGCTGACATCAGTAATATCTATCGATCTGTTTCCACCTTCTGTGACCTGTTTCTTCCTGTAGGATCCAATTTGCTACTAAGCTTTCCTGTGAGATATTTTTTCCTTCTGTATAAATCACAGTTTCTTCTTTGTACATCAAGTTCCATTGATTATCTACTGAGTAGATAATTTATTGAATGTAATCTAAATTCTGTTTTATTGTTATCCAGTACATATTGTTTTAACATTACCTTTTTGAATTCTTTCTTTACAAAATATAAAACATGTCTAATATAAATAATGAATACTAACAGTTGAGAGTTCAAAAATGTCTGGCGTGGCCCATTTCTCAGGATGTATTGTTGATTCTGTCACTATTTTAGCTTTCAGGATATTACAGATTTTAGAGTAACAATTATTTCTTCAAGTAACTCTAAAGCATAGAGATTTTTCTGTAAATTGTGCCATATATCCTCAGATTAATGTCGCTCTAAAGGCTATGAAATCAAGTGGGCATTTTTCTTCCTCTTTGTCCTGTTATGACCTTAGTCACAACCCGTTAGTACTGCTTAGAATCTACGTCTATTGAACAAAGGTGAAAAGGGCACCATGTGCATATAAATACTCTGAATGAGAAAGAATATTTAGATTTTTCAAAGTCTTTATCTTGTCATTAAAAGGGGATTTGCAAATACAAGATAAGTAAAATTATTAGTGAGTTCTAAATCTTGTATGCATTAGCTAGAAGGAGAATTTTCAGATCAACTCCCTGACTTTCTTAATTGTCCCACTTTATCTTGACAATGACTGTACATTAATAGATGGCAGATGGAGAGAAAGAAAGAGGGATAATTCTAGATGGGGGGAGGTTGTATTTGAGAACATAGTATCCTTGAATTATAGGCACAACCTAGAACCATAAAATACTAGCACTGAAAGAGATCATAACAATAAACCCAAATCAGTTCCCATCTGAGGAAAGGGATGTGGGATTAGTTCCTCTGTAAGTATTTAATTATATGGACACTCATTGGGGAATTATTCTTGCTTACTGTTGCTACTACAGCATCTAGTATAGTGGAACTTTCCAGCATGCTGGTGTTCAGTTTAATTCTTGATGAAATGGGGGGAAAGCAAGAAAACCTAAACGACATAGCTCCGTGGAAAGAGAATGGTTGCCAAAGCTTGAGTGGGACGTTGTGAACTAACTGGTTATGGTGCTACTACTAGTTATCTAGGTAGAATTTCTTCCTTCTTGACTTGCATAGTGTGTTGGAGAGGGAGGAACCCATATGGGCTAGTTTCACTAAGGCTAACAAAGCACAGAAGGTTAGTTAGAGGATGTTAGAAGAACAGAAAAGAAGATAGTCTGTAGATTACCTGCTCATAAGTCACCAGCCACACAGTCTCTGTCACTTCCAATGTTACAAAGAGAGTGGAGTTAGATGGTGCGATTAGTTCTAAGGAGCCCAGATAATCACTAGAACTTTGGAGACATGGCATTCTGAAAAGCCTGTTGATTGGCTTTGTCCTGAGGGTTGTAAAGCAGGAGGCAGTTTTCTGAAAGGGAGTGATTTATTCCATGAGAAGTGGGTCCATTGCTGTGCTGTTTGTGTGAGTCAAAGAGCGAGAGGTGGCCTGGGAATGGAATCACAGAGGAGGATTAGCCACAGAGAGGATGCTTGGAAAAGAGAGAGGGGCTCAAGTCCTGTGGCCAAAAGTCTGGATAATTGGCTTTTAAAGGAAGGTTTATTTGGCTCACAGTTCCATCAGCGGTCACTTGGGCATTGTATTTGGGTTTATGCCATAGCAGCATATCATGGCAGGGGCACGATATAGAAAGAGTAAACTCAGTAAAGAGGGGCTATGGTCCTGATAGCCCTTCAAAGGCATGGCACCAGTGACCTAACTTAGTCCCACAAGGCTCTACTTCTTAAAGATTCTACCATCTCCCAATAATGCCATGGACTGGAAAACAAACATTCAACACATCCCCTTTCAGAGGACATTTGAGATCCAAACAGTAGTGCTGAGTGTGGAAGTAGAGGTCTGTAATCCCAGTACTAAAGAGTTTGAAGCAGGAAGATTGATGCTTCAAGGTCAGAATAATCAGCTGCATGGTAGTATCTTCTTTTGATAAAAAGAAATGATAACAATATCATCATCTACAACGACAACACTCCAAACCATGGAAGATGGAACAAATACTTTGCTTTCTCTTTCAGAATGGAAATTTTTGTATTTATTTTTTTCATTTTTTTCTTTGTATCTGATATGGAATATTATATTGATTATAGTTTTCTATATGTACTGGGAACTATTCCCAACACCCCTGGCTAAATTGTTCATCATTCACTCAATAAGCTATATTGTTGCATCCATAAGATCATGTCCTCAGAAAGATGAGTATATTTTTCTCTGAACATTTCCATTCATTATCTCTGTTGGTGGATGAACACCAGTATTTTAATGACATGTTTTTTTTTAAAAAAAAAACAACAACAGCATTTTGATTCTTTCTCTAATAAGAATAGTAAAATATCCATTGATCTTTGTATTCTTTCACATTATTCTAATTATATTTGGGCATTTTTTCCAACCTTAGTTACAGAGTTGATTTCATAAATGTACTAGGTTAGATTTTTAGACTTTAAAGCTTTCAGAATGTCTTAAGTTGAATAACTAATTTTGTTTATTTTATCACCGTATTTACTGAAACAGTTTTGAAATGGTTTGAAAAGGCTCGAGTTAAAAAAAAAAAATCTTGTCCAAGTTTTAAATCTTGCTAAGGATAGCTGTACACCTAAGCATTAGCAAATGAAATTTAGAAGTTGGCAAAGATGATTTTGCCTTTTTTACTTATTTTTCATTATGCTGATAGTATTGACTTAATGGGAATAGATAACATTAAGGGAAGATTTTGTGTTAATTAATTTGGCATGAGGGCTGTCAAGATGGCTCAGCAGATGAAGGCACATGCCACCAAGCTTGGCATTACAACTCCTGGGATCTGTATGGTAGAAGGAGAAAATCCACTCCTGCAAATTGTTCTCTGACTTCTACATGTGCCATATAGCATGCAACCCCAACATGCAAGATACAAAAACTCACTCATCCTTTTACTGGTACAGCTACATTTGGATTTATAGTGTGTCAAATGGAAAGTGGTCATCTATGGGAATTTATGGTACAGTTGCTCAGAAGCTTTGCATATTTAGTTCATTTGTAGCTGTGGTTTCAAGTTCTTGCCGATGGCTTTTTGCCGACGTTATCAAAGGCTTTTGGTTATCCGCCATGGATTTAGGTGTGACTCTCCGAAACCCTAGTTGCTGACTCTTGGCTCCTCTTTGCCTTGTTTGGATAGGCTGCCCTGCAGGTCGGAGGTCACGGAGAAAGGCTGCACCAGTGTCGGGAAGTGATGCTTCTGACTTACAAGTCCATCCCCATGCAAGTCGATGGGGAACCGTGTAGGCTGGCCCCCGCCATGATTCGGATCTCCTTGAGGAATCAGGCCAACATGGTACAGAAGAGCAAGCGGAGAACCTCCATGCCTTTGCTCAATGAGTGAGTCTTGGCTTGCCTTCCTGGGTGACATGGAGACACTGGAAAGCAGATGGCAGAGCATGTGCATGGTCTGGGGACCTCACTGTGTTGGAAAGGGGAGAGAAGTCAAGAAAGCACCATAGGCCCTAGATTGCTCTCATGGGAACACGTGCAACCAATTTACCTTTTACTTGATGGTTATTTGTCCTTCTTTGGGGTAAATTTGGGGTTGTATGTAAGATAGATGACTCTCCTTCGCTGACCTCTTAGGTATCTATTGTGTTCAGATGAGCTGGTTTTAATTTTTAGTTTGGTTTAGAGAGGTCTGTCACTAGCCCCTTTTTATGTTGTATTTCTTTCTGCCTGTCAATGAGTGGGTCCTTTTGGGGTCCCATGTCCTCTGATGCTTCAGCTCAGTTTTGCCTTCCAAGGCAGCAACTACTGTCCATACTTAAGTCAACTCACTACGTCTACTTTAAACACCTGGTGTCCCTTCCTCTCTACACGTTTTCTTTTTTTTTTAGGTGTTTTGATAAACCGATTCAAGGTAAGACAATAAAGAATAGGTAACATAGAACATATGTTCTTTTTCTAGTGTACTTTACTCAAATTGGTGACTTAATTGTCTGCTTGGGATTGGAGAGGTAGCTGGAGAGAGAAGAGGATTTGGGTCATCTTTTTGAGTATCTTCTAGATATCATGCCATCATGCCTAAGGTCATTTCAGGGCTTAGTCTTGGGTCATTCTCTGTCACAGTGAGGGGCCTCAAAGGTACACCTCCTGTTTGCTGTCTGTGTTGCATGGTTACCTATTGTACTGAATGGCTAGCTTCCTGGCGGTGCCTGCAAGGCAGGGGCATGCTTTGCCATGTGTTCATGAAGTCAAGGTGAGAATCTGCACAAGTTCCCAGAATAGCTGATGACGCAGGTGCCACAGCTCCTGTCACCTCTCTCTGTGGCAGCATATGCTCAGGAAGAGCACCAGACAGCGCTCTCCAGGCACTTCAGCTTTTGGCATCCGCTTCTCAGTTGGAGGCTGGCGTGAGAAGTCCTCTTCCTCTGTTCTTGGAGTCTGGACTTCCTGGAACATTGTCCTGGTTGTTTCCTACAGCTTCCGTTTATTCCATTTCCTCTGAGTTGATAGTTCTTGCTTTATTTACATTTTGCAGCTGGCAAAACTCTTGGCATATTGCTGATGCTTTCTGTCCTTGCTGCCTTCTCCTACATCTAGGTTGAAGACATAATTGTTGAGTTTATATTGTTAAAAAAGATGAGACGTCAGCAGTTGTATGTGGTTCTCCTTATGTCTTCTAGAAATGCTAGTCAAACCATGACACAACGGTTCGGCAGAAACCTAAGAACTAATGAGTGGAAAGTTACCTCTGAATTTGTACAGTGGCCGAGGTGCCTAGGTCACCTGTAGATCATCTACAAAAAGGATAGACTAAAGCTCAGTGAGTTCGCTATTGCTGTAGTGAAGGGTACGATCTCATGACCTTCTTAGGCATAAAACTGTTTCTAGGTGCTCAGTTTCAAACAACTGTTACGCTTCTGTCAACAAAGAATTTGTCTTCTCTAGGTAATCCTGTTGATTAGAGTTCATTTGGGTTTGTTTATATGCAAAATAAATACACATAATTTTTTGTTTTGTCCTCACAGCATGCGTGATATATGGTATTTCTTGCACTTAATTGTACAGGTATCCAAGAGCAGCCTCATCTAAAAAAACACTGACACTTCCTTCCTGGGGTAGTGTTCCCATTATAACAGCCCATGTCACACAGGAGACCCATGTGCAATGGGAGTCAGAGTACACTATTCAGTTTTCAAAAGAAGAATTAAAATTTGGAGAATAAGAAATACTTTAATCACTATATATAAAATTATTTCACTCTATTTTAAGGAAATCAGTACTTTTTCAAAGAAAAAGGAGTAAACCTGGTTATCTGGTCATACTAAACCTGGCTTTCCCTCTCTTTAATCTTTTTTCATCTTTATAGTTAGTTTATTTCTACTTCATTATAAAACATTTCTTTAGTCCCCTCTCTCTTTCTCGTTTTAGATCTAATTTCTTCCTCTGTATTTCCAAGTAGAGTTTCGATTTTAAAGTCAATCTGGATTTGAAGACTTTTTCTTTAGCCTTCTGGGCCTTTGAACTTGTCTCTGTGTTGTCCAACATTGTATGATGTTACTCTATTTCTCTTTCTGCCTACTTGTTTCTCTTTCCTTCCTTGCTTCTTTTCCTTCCTTCCTTTGTCCCTCTTTTTCTTGCTTTTTTTATAAACTAAAAAAAAAACCACACATTTCATTTGCTTAATTTGCTTATATATTTTTTCTTACTAGAAGAGGCAGAAAACTAGTTTACAGTGTCATAAAGTTTGTATCCCAAAGGCTTGTGTGTGTGCATGTGTATGCATATGTGTGTGCATGCAAGTGTGTGTGTATGCATGTATGTATGTGTGTGGGTATATGTATATTATTCCCAGTGAAGGGATGGTAGCTGCTTGGTTCATCTAAGGAATTGAGTTCCTTTCATTCTTGTTATCTTGGAAGACTTGCTATTTTAATAGTGTAGTTCCTGGAATAACTGTTTCTTCTTCCCTTGAATGCTGGTGTGTCTCACACATCCGCTGTTTCTTTGGGATGTTGAATCTTAGATCTGTGATTTCAGCCTTGACTCTTTTTCAAAACTGAAGACTATTCCTCAAACACTGCAGTTGACAGTGTTGTCCTTAATGAGGTTTTGTGGCAATCTTAGATTGCACACTGAGAACCAGACTCTTAACTCTACTCCCTGTGCATTTCCTCCTTATCATCCACATGAATCTGATCCTCACCCATGTGCTCATTCATCATACCTCTGGCCCCTGGAGCCATCTCACTGACCTCCACTTTTCTACACTTAGCAGGCTAGCTATCACGTTCCTTGAAACCCATGTTCAGTTCATCACTCACATATTTAATACACACCATCTCTTCTGTTCTCTAGGAAACTGCTAATGTGTTCTCACTACAGATTCATTCCCCAGCTCACTCGGCTGCCCCTCTTCAGAAAGACAGTTTTTCCTCTACATCAATTAGAATGGTCTTCCTAAAAGTGGAAAGCTCACGTTCCTATCTTCACAGATGTTTTTGGTCTTTGCCATCTTCGTCCTGTTCTCCTTTGTTGTGGGAAACTGTTGCCTTTCTTGATCACTCTTTTGCCCCTGGTTTTTCTTCTCGCAGCGGCCTCCCTTGCTCCTTTTATCTGCCAGTCTGGCTCACAGTGCAACATCCACCTTGTATACTGCTTCCATCAAGAACTGTCCCTTAGCTAATTTTAGCAGTTGGTTGTATCTCTTGATGCTGTTTCCATCGCATCATCTGTCAACATAGTGCTTCCATCACCTGCTGGCCTCTCTCTGCTCTGCTCTGTGGGGAGGCCCTAGATTTCTCCTCTCAGGGTTTCTGGTACCTGTCAGCATCTCTGAGACATGGTCACATATTGAATCAATGACTCACAAGTGGACCCCATTATACTTCTATTTTTGTGTCATTTCTTGGAAACTATTAATAAAATAACATCAATCTAAAATCTCATGAATATAGATAGAGGAAATATAAAATATGTTCTGAAGATGTTCTCTTACAAGTGTAGGAGAGATATTGGATCATTTAGATATGGTTACATGGATAATTGGAAGGAGCCTCCATGAGAGACAGCTAAATAGTAGGCCTTCATGATGCCACTCAGTCCATATTTATTATGAAAGGAAAAATATTTTCTATAAGATAATGCCAATTTTATTAGTATATACAAAATAAAATATGTTCACTAACTCCATATTGTCAAGGGAACATACTTCATTTTATTATAACATATGAATCTACAAAGATTATGGAGTCCAGTAAATATTTTCTTCACAAAATGTCAGATATTTTGTCTAGTTTTTTTTTAACTAATATCCTAGCAATATGATAGCCAGATACATTTCATTATGTTCTGTATTATGAAGCACCATTGAAGGAGGTCAGAAGCTTAAAATAACTGATGTGCAAGGGAGGTCTTCAGCTGTTACCCTTAACTTCACTAGCAACAGTGAAAGACAAGTCATTTGTACACAGGCAAGAGTTCTAGTTAGCTACCTTTGGATTGGGCAACTGGGTTTCACCATCCTTGGCTACTGAGGCATATTATTGGTTTTAACAGAGAGTCTTTGAAGACAATGTGGATAGAACACTGAAACTTATGGCTGACCTTCTCTGAGAATATATGTACCCAGCAGATGAAGGATCTTGGGAGCTGTTGCTTAGCACGTAGAGAAATTTAAATGAGAAAGAGAAGGAGGGTGACAGTGTAGAAGTGAGAGTGAGTTTGGGGGTTCCTCTTGTTACATTGTGCAATGTCTGTTTTCTAAAAGCTTTTGTGGGCTCTCTCCACCACAAATGAAGGAAGGAAGGGGAGATGCTTATGGTTTATGTTCATGGTTTCACTGTTGTACATAGAATATGAGTGAAACTAAGGCACCCGAGGGATGAAAATGGAATTTTAAAAAAGTATTGCTCGAGTTTCTGCTAGAGTTCAGGAAGCCTTTTCTGTTTAGCTGAGTGAAGCTCAAGGTAGTTGAGTCCCTATTTTCAAGAGGGTTCTCTGATGGCTCTCAAAGGCCAGGTTCAGGGATGAAATTGGCTCAGCTCCTCAAGTGGAAGTCAGTGGTGCTGGTTTCCCACTCTGACGTGGAAGCCTGTACCTCTGCCCTTGAGCTGTCCTGATTGTTCTGGAGCAAAGGTGCCGTTGACGACGCGTCCTGTGCCCACAGCCCACCCTCCCGCCTTGGCCCCGTGCTCCAGTTCGTGGCTTGCCTGGAACTTGCTGCTTCCATGTGTCATGTTGGCTTCACTGCTATCACCGGCTTCTCTGGATTATTCCCTGTGGCTGGCCTGATTTCCTTTTTTTTTAATTTTTTTATTTTATTTTTCTTTCATCGCTGTTGGTGATGCGCTCATTTAATTTCTGTTTAAACTTTGTATGTCTCTCTTTTTCTCCCCGGCTTGTTCCTTGTTTGTCCACGCTGTCCTGCTGACCCTGTCTCCGCTGCTCATTCCCTGCTGCCTCTAGCATCCATCAGGTGCAAGCTGCGGACCTGCGGCGAGTGTCAGCTCCCCCCGGCTCCTTGACCATGTGAGTACAGTGCCATTCTGTTCTGACACTCTTTCCCCAACTCCTCCTCCTCCTCAGGGCTAGATCACCTGAGGCATCCTTTTCCTCCACAGGTCTGCTGCTCAGAGAAGGGGGACCACCTAATCATAGATGCTTTCATAACCCTCTTTTTTTTTTTTTAAATGTGAAATGGAGCAGGAGAGTTCTTTGTGCTTTGTATGTCCCAGCACTATGTATTTGCGCCTTCATCCTTCTATGAAATACTTTAGGGCCTGGGGTTGTGTGGGTCAGTGTAACAGTCTATGCTAAGCATCGTTATTTTTCAAAGTGTGACAGGACTGTTGGACCATAGCATTACAGATATAGTTGAGGAAGTGCTTATGGCCCTAACATGGTCTGTGGAGCTTATTTTTGTGCCAAAGAACCACAGCTGTTATCCAGTAACCAGTGACCCTGAGCTGTCACTGAGTCAGCTGAAATTTATTATTACGCATAGTTAGAGGTTTACGCTCAATGTACTTCAGGGGATTTTCATTTTCTGGTGAAATTAAATAAGTGGAAATATTAGTTTTAGGATTTTACTTTAGCATTTTTTGGTGCTAAACAGTGATTTGGCTTTCTTTCTTTGCCCCATATAATATTTGTTACCTACTGTTTATCATGCTTCAAGTACTCTGCTAGATGCTTTTCATCTATTAAGAAATGTATTCTCCAGGTGATACTATGCATGTGTAATAGCACTCTCCTTTCTGTGTGCATGTCCAAGGTCACACACTAACAAGCCGTAGACCGAGACTCAAACTCAGGCAACCAAGCTTCCAAACTCATGTTGCCTTCCACCTCGCTGGAGTCTGTGTGTTTCTCAAGACCCAGTGGAGTGATGGCATCCTCAAAGAATTCTTCCTTGATTCCTGTTATTGGAGTCTGTCATCCCTCACTGGAGCTCACTGGTGATGAATCTGTTAATAGTTTCTGAAGTTTAATTTGGTTTGCATTGTCTGAAGTCTCTATGTGATTGGCACTATATCCCTATGAGCCTTTGTGTTCCAGACCTATCCACAGACCTTGTCAGAGCATTGCCAAAACAAGCCACAGTTGGTGGGGTCAATGAGTAGGAAAATATGTGTATGAGGAACTGTGTAGAATCTGAAATCTACTGGTGCTACAAAGTACTTCCAAAAGCTTAGTTACTCGACCTTGTTTTCATCTTATAGATGCCCATTTATTTAGAACTATGTATTAACCAAGGAGTATTTCATTTTTCCCTGGCTGAGTTCTGGGTACTGCTTTATGCTGCAGATCTAGTTAGTGACCGGCACAACGACTTAGTACCCATGTGGAGCACGAGGCTTATAATCAAACACTCAAGACCCAATAGGGTGATGGTATTTCATTTCCAATCTGCTGATGCTTGCAGGGTAAAATTCTTCGCTCTGTAGGCTCCTCAGTAAACTTGTCTTGAAAAAACTGGCTGTCAGTTTTCTGATCCTGCTCTTAGCAGCTCCACTGACAGAGATCAAAGTCATGAGAATGTCAGCAACAGAAGTGGGTTGTGAGAGCAGTTGAATTTCTATCCCTAGCATGGTTGTTTCAACACTGTAGCCATGAATCTTAAGTGGGGATGTTTGTTTTGTACTCTAGGGGTGGGTTGTAACAGTAAGATAAATGGTGGTCATTTCCATAGGTACAGCAGAAAGTAGGTGTGGCTGCTTTAAAACTACAGCATTATGAAAATATTTTGTCCGTGTCGTACTATTACAGCATACAGATATTACAGCTTTGAATAACAGATGGGAACAGTTGTGTAATAAAACTTAGGACAGCTTGGTGGCATATAGAAACCAGGTGGTGGTACAGTCTCTCAAATAGAGCAAGGACATGGAGAGAAGCCCAAGCCCAGCAATTCATTTTGTGCCTTTCCATCATGAACGGGCGGTGGCTTAGCCTCCTCTACCCACGCTGTGTGAGAAGCCTAGACATTCTCAGCTTGCTAAAGGTGCTTTGCCCCTGTGACAGTCCAGACCTGGCATCCTGAACTGAGATAGCTTGGTTTTCTGTTTCTCTCAGAACTTGTTTTAAATAGATGCTCTTGGAATCTTTGGAGGGGCCCCTCTGCTGCTCCTAAAGCTCCTTGAAATGATCTGAAGTACCCTTTTCTGGAAAGCATCCTTTTCTCTAGTTTTCTGGTGACTTTTTTTTTTGTAATGCGGTGATAAGAAGGTAAGACATAGATTGTTAGGAGTCATGACATAAAACTCAAATCCAAACACATACAAAATTTCAGCTCTATGGAAATACTTTTAAGGTTTATTTTTATTATTTTAAAATTATGTGTGGGGGTATGTGCACATGAATTCCGGTGCCAGTGGAGTTCAGAAATGGACAACTGGATCTCCTGAAGCTGGAGTTCCAGGTGGTTATAAGCAACCCTGATGTGGGTCCTGGGAATGGAACCCCTACCCTCTACAAAAGCAGTACATGTTCTTAACCATGGAGCCATCTAGCCTTATGCAATATTTTGATCCTGTGTAGCCACATATGAATTCATGGATTTTAAACAAAAGTGTTTAATGCTCCATTCACTAAATAAAACAATGCTAAGCTAAGAATATTTATACACACACCTTCTACAATGTACAATGAAGCTTCAAGTGTTAATAAGCTCTATGTGATAAGTGTCCTCAAAGGGAAGTAGTCACTGGAGGGCACATGCGCAAGCTTCATTTCTTAAATTGTGAATAATAGCGTTAAATCCTTCAGCCACTCACTCCAATTTAGCATCTGATAAAAAGCACATGAAACCTCAAAGTGAGGCTTTCTAGAGTTCTTTCCTCCTTTCGTAGCCACTTTTCCCCGGGTTCCATTTCCTCCTTCCTCTTCCAGCATAAAAACAAAATAATGTGATCCGTTTACATTTGACTCATCGTTGTCATCTTTCACCACTATTTACTTCAGACTCCAGATACGCTGGGCTATTAAAGATGTTGAGATCAAAAAGCTAAGTTCTGCCCTGGGGAAATGAACATGCCAGCCACAGACCTGATTGAGCTGACTGTAGTGCAATTACCGCACAACACGGCAGCAATAGAGAGATCTGAAGTGCATTTCTAGGTTGGCAACTTTTTACCGAGTGTTTGTCATGGCTGATTTTGTTTTCTAAATATGTGAAATTAATATGCAGCAACATTGTTTCTTCTGGCATCGTGTCATGAGTCTTAAAGCAAGTGTAAATTCATATAACCATCACCCTCACCAGGACACCGATAGTGTGTCACTGATTTTCCTCCACAGTTCTGCCCTGTCATTCACCCCATTGTCATCGGTTGCTCTCGTCACCCAACATCTGACAGCCCCCGATCACCACAGATTTGTGGCTTCGAGATTTCCACAAATAGAGAGTCAAGTAATATGTAACACACTTCAGCTGAATATAACATCTTTGATATTTATTCAAGTTGTCATCTAGATCAGTCATCTGTTGGTTTTTATTTTTGAGCTGCCTTCCATTCTGTGGCTGTTTCCACTCACCCACTGAAAGATACCTGGGTTATTGCCAGTTTGAAATGATTGTTAAGAATGCTCAAACCATTAAGGAGTAGATTTTGTATATATAAAAAAAAGTTTTTATTACTTTAGGTTAAATGTCTGGAAATGAGATGGTTGAATCCACATGGCAAGTAGATTTACTTTCCTTAATAGGAGAGCAAAGAGAAAACGGTTTTCAGAGTGGTTTTGCCATTTTGCCTTTCTACCAGTGATGGATGATAGTTCTCATCGTGCCCTATTGCATCTGGTATTCTGCTGATGGTTGCACCATCAACTGTAACTATTAATCTCTGTGGTGGGAGTATGGTTTTGTTACATGATAGTTTCGTTTGTGTTCCCAAGTGGTTGACCATACTGAACATCTTCCACATTCTTATTTGTCATTTACTTATTCTCTTTGCAAATGTTCAAATTATTTGTTGGTTGGTGGTTGTAGTTATTTGCTTGGTTGGTTTCTGAGTGGGTCTCATATATCCCAGGCTGGCCTCCAACTCACTGTATAGCCTAGGATGACCTTGAAATCCTTGTGTTCCTGCCTCTGCACCTTGAAGGGTAGGATTATCGTTGACTACCACCTGACAGGGTGTATTTGATGCTGGGAACGGAACCCAGGGTTTTGTGTTTGTTAAAGCAAGTATTCTATTAACTTAGCCATGTCTGTAGCCCTCTGGTTGCTGTTAATTGGTCATTTATTTTCTGTCTGTTGAATTTACTTTGGTCCTTACTGTAGATCCCAGGCCTTTAAAATATTCTCTCTGTATATGCCTCTTGTGTTTTCAATGTTCTGATAATCCTTTGGACAACAAAGTGCAGCAAAAAGTTTTAATGATGATTAGGTGATCAGTCATTTTTAAAACAATATTTTTATTTATTCTTTGAAATTTTTATCCATGTCATCACTATGTCTTGATCATATCTCTGCCACTCACTCCTCTCCTCCTCTTCTAGGTTTCCCTAACACCTCTCCCTCCAATACTACATGTAATACTTTTTCCTCCCTCTCTCCGTCCATCCCTCCCTCCCTCCTTCTCTTCCTCTTTCCTTTCCTTCCCTTCTCTTCTCCTTCCTTCCTTCCTTCCTTCCTTCCTTCCTTCCTTCCTTCCTTCCTTCCTTCCTTCCTCCCCCCCCCTCTCTCTCTTTCTTTCTATCTATATAGCCCACTGAGTCCAGTTAGTGCTGCCCATATATTCATGGGTATAGGATCACCCATTGGGACATGGACAACCAACCAGCAGCCATACCCCCAAAGAACAATGCCTGTTTCTTCACCAGTAACCACTAACTGCCAATAGCTCTTCAGCTAGGAGTAGGGCCTCAGGATCCGCTCCACCATCTTTGCTGGATTTTTAACTGGCTTGATCTTGTACAGGTCTTGTGCAGGTAACCACAGCTGCTGTGAGTGAGTTCATTTGAATACAATAGCTGGGTACTGTCCACAAGACAGAATTTTACTTGTCCCACCCAGTCCTCTGGCT